GGGCAAATGCCCCACTCTGCCCTACCCAAATGACGCTCCTGTGTATTACGTGCAGCGCAGCACTTGTTTCCTTATAATGAGGGCGACATATTTGGGCAGCTGCAGAGGTTTTATCGTGATAAGAGGGGGCGAAAATCTTGGCCGTCCCAGGTGGCCCTCACCCAGCTACGCCACTGCCTACACGATAAACGATACCGCTCCGCCGCAGATGTTTATCAAAAGTGAGGAGAGACGTGCTGTAAACTGTTTGTTTCAGTGTGTGTGCCGTTGAAAGGATTGATAGACTAGTCAACAATAAACTATTTGGAATCGCTCTTGCTATAAACTATAAACAAAAAAAAACCCAATAAAAATGTATGTTTCCTTACTTTCATTCAATTTTAGCCACGCAGCACACACGCGTTGGTTTATGGATATATCCCAGCGTGCCGGTTCTCTGATGGATAGCTTAAGAAAATGTATTTATAGTTTTTTATGGCTGTGAATTTCTATTTAAATCCGTATGTTTATAATAACTTTAATATATATAAATGAATAAATAAATAAATATTATTTAAATTAAAACCAGAATAAGTTCAAATTACCCAACGCGTCCAACTGCAGTGGTTGTCGAACACAAGTTTTAGTTGCTACCCGAACCCTGCTGACCTGCTGACAGCTGACGGCCGCCGACCCATGCCCATAACCGAACGGAGCTTTTAAAAGAGGGTTCCCGCCTCTTCTCGGTATCAACAACCAGTCAGAATGCGAAATGAAATACCAATTGTAAATTGAAAGTGCTTTGGTCATAAACAAAGACATGCATCTTGCGAAGACAAATAATGACACAAATTCGCCGTAAGTCTTAAGCGTATCATTATTTTTCAGAACTGTGCTCCCCATTGGGTGGAACACACTATAATGAGAAGATAACTCTTTTTGTAAACACCCGGACCCGGTTCCATTTGTTCGACGGGTCCGGGTATTTGCATAATAGTGTGTTCATAGTTTGTTAATACTCGGCATTCCGGGTATTCGTGTCAGTACCCGGCTCAGTTCTATTAACACTTGCAATAGTATTATTTCAATGGAGGAGGTGGAAGGAGTGTCACTTGTCAGTGAATAAATCACCGGGTGAATTATCTTTCCCTGTGGAGTGAGGAGCTCAGGAGATCCGAATCACGTTTCAGCGGTGGCGGGCTATCTACGGAGGAGGATTGTCACCCCTTGCTAATTGTCCGCGCCGATGGTCTCAGCGGCGTGTGGGCTGATGGTCCCAGCGTCGTGTCACGGACCATTGAGAACCAACCGTATTTACGACCTCAGGGGTAAATGCCAGAGCAGGTCACGTGAAGTTGGTGGGTAACGATGGTGTCTTCAGATGTATTTGCTGGTCTTCCCGGCCTCAATGTAGATTCGTATTTAAAAAAATATTGTTAGTTGTTAGAAAAAACGAAGTAGCTAATCGCACCCGGGTACCAGAAGTGAGAGGTTGGGATTAAAGAACCATTTAAAATATTATTGCTGGGTTTGTAAGACAAAATGAGGTATCGAATGAAAGATAATGGAATGAACTTTATTGTATGTTTGTAAATTTAATTCTTCAGTTTAACTAAAATAAACCACCACAAATGACATCCGAAAAGCACTGAGTCGAAATGGACCCAGACACGCAGTGCCGCCATTCGCACCCGGGTACCATTAGACTCGAGCTATTCGGATGTCACTTGTGGTAGTTTATTTTTGGTTAAACTGAAGAATTAAATATACAAACATATAATCCATTGAATTATCTTTCATTTGATGCCTCATTTTCAAACAGACTTTCAAACAGCGTCACGAGCACGGTTCTGTCGTAATAGTTCAGGGGTTCTCAACCTGTGGGTCGCGACCCCTTTGGGGGTCGCACGACCCTTTCACAGGGGTCGCCTAAGAGCATCTGAAAAGACATATACTCTGCAGTTATAAAGTATCAACGAAAATAATTTTTTGGTTGGGGGTTGCCACAACACGAGGAACTGTATTAAACAGTCGCGGCTTTAGAAAGGTTGAGAACCACTGTAATAGTTATTATTTAATTGCATTCATTGAGTCTGTAGACAAGTTGTTGATTTTTTTTATTTACCAATAATATTTAGCTTTAAAAATAACGAATCTTCTAAATTTTTTTACAGATTTTAAGTACAGATTTTATTGGGAAAAAAATGTTTCAAGCTCATAACTTTAAATTAAAACTGCAGTGTTTGTAATGGGTCTCCAGAGATAAAATCTGTTTTATGCTGAGGTTGTAGCTAAATTACTTTTAGAAACAAAATATGTGGAGAAGGCGAGGGCAAAGAGGTGACATTACATAGAAAATGAAGACTCTAGTCCCCCATCGCTGAGATGCACCATCACCATCAGCTCACAGGGTCAAAGCTATTAACCCCGCAGTTCCATTACACAAACAGCGGGACAATGACTACGGCCTACGGGACGGGTAATTTCTGGTGCGTGTTGCTTTCTTTAATTGAGCCTCACCTCTGCTCGAGTCACGGACAGTTTATCCTTTGTGTCCAGTGTTATTTTTCAATGGGTGGTGTGTGTGGGGGGCCAGTGGGAGGTCTTATATACACCTCAAGTTGGGCGGCGTTAGTGTATCTAGAAGGAAATCACATACATCTGGGGAAACAGGTGGAGTGTGGGTTTCAGTCGACAGTTCAGAGGGTGGACGTAACTCTGGAGCTTAAAGAAAACAAGATATAGCAGAATCCCCCCCCCCCCCAAATCCAATTAGGTCTACCACTATGAACCTGGTCTCTTTAATCTTGGAAAGTCTTGGGGTTGTCGAGTGAGAATCTTTCTAACGATAAAATGTCAATGGAAGGATGCGGGTCCTAGTTGTGACTGAAAAGCTCTCCAGTATGTAGGACACATGTGTTTTGGGGGTCATAGTTTAATACATGAAAATTAATGTAATGTAATAACTGCTAAGAAGAAAAAAAAAGAACACATAATTTTCCCCAACACTTACAAAAAAATGACAACGGTATTTTCAAAGAGAGCTATTAGAAACAAAATGTTCCATTTAGCATACGATATCTTTCCAGTGTTCCTTCAAGAATTATTGAGCTACGGTGGGCTGCCTTGGCCGCTGATTACAAATAACAATTGCGTATTAGATTTAAATCTCTTTACCTCCCACCCCTCCCACCAAACAGCCGCTGGACACTCCTGTCCACCACTGGCCGTATCTTACCAGTAAAGGGGCTGTATCTACTGTAAAGGGGCGGAGCAAAAGTCATGATTGTAATAGTAATTGTAACAGTTGACCGCTTTTGCTACTGTGTACCCTCGATTGGTCTACAGTCTACAGGGCCAGTGAGTGTTCGAAGATAATCGCAAAGTGTGACAAAGAAAGGCTAAAGGTAATTAATTATTTCAAGTTTATCATAGAAGTAACTTATAATCATTGGCAGTTTAAATACTTTACTTAAAATTATCAAATGTGATAATATATTTATTGAAGTATAGGACTAGAGATATAAAAAAAAAGAAAGATTTTCTTGACATTAATTATAAAATAATGACATCGTTATAAACTAAGTTATATTATATATTTTTTTGTGACCTTGTACTTTTCCTTTAAATACATAATCATATATAATATTACTGAAATGGAATACAGACATTTAGAGTAGGCGTAATTATTACACATGTTTTTAATAATTGTAAAGCGCTCACTTAGAGCTTTAAGGTAAGCGCTATATAAAAAGGCCTAAATAAATAAATAAATTAAATTTAAAAAAATTTAAATTGTAAAAATTCTGGAGGCTGACTTCAAAAAGCCGGAAGTCAATTGACTGTTTTAAATATTTATTAACTTGCAATGTAGCTGCGGTTAAGGCGAATGGAAGAAATTGATTCGCGCCTTATTAATTATAAATATACAGTGCAGTGACAAGTCGGAGAAATCGGGTATGCCTGAGTACGTTTTAGATGCTTCCCACATACTTATATTTTATATAAAGTAAGAAATAAAATTGTGTGCTGACTCCATTAATTATAATAACGGGAACACGTGAATTACGTGAACCAAAATGTTCTAAGTCTAAACCCTTTCGCTTCGGGACGGAGCCTTTTTGGAGTAACGGTGCCAAGAAACCGGAGCTATTTATACAAGCTGGGCACTCCTGCAATTTTTGAAATACAAAAAGGAATGATTTCATTTAAATTTAAATGTATAAAACTATATATATCTTTTTTTAAGTAATTGAAAGAACTAATAAAATCTTGATGAATCGAACTGAAATCTCAACCATCGTGGTTGCCACGACCCGTGAAACTTTCCTAATTCACCGTCACTAAACCTAACCAGAACCCTAAATGTATCTCTAATGCCTAATGGCACCAATTCTCTGCATTAGCCCTCAACATTTATGAATTATGCAAATGAATGTCCCCTTCAGACACTTCTGGCACACGGTTCGGTACCCCATGCTTCTACTCCTGTCCTTTAACTTTGCATGCTCAGGGCTATTATTAAGTTGATTCAGACACTGCATAAAAAAAGTACACATCAGATCATGTTCATAGTATAGTTTTGATAATTATGAAACAATTTATCACAATAACTGCCATAACTGAAATCCAGCCATCATTTCTATGAAATGAATTAATATATCTTTGTTTCTGTGATAAGTTACAGGGGCTAGAAAAAAAAGCCAACATATTTCCTTATTATTTATAAATGTTGTTACTAAAGATTTCTTTTGAGAGCATGGCTTGAAGCAGTCTGTTAACCACCCCCCCCCCCCCCCCCCCCCCCAAACTATGTCAATCAGGGCATTAGCCCCTTTTACTATTATCTTAAGGTGTTTTATGAATTGTTTATAGTCTTCTGCTTTCACTTTAAACATGGTTACATTGGCCTAACATTATTTCACAGTTGCTGAGAACGAAAGGCTTGCATTTGGCATTCCATTGCTATAGTATTGTTTGACTAGGCCTTGGAGCTCTCTCAGACTGAGAAGATTATGGATATGGATATTTTTAAGAGTTCTGATATGACCAGAATTATATGTGACAAATTTGTAGTAATTATTGGTGACTCAAGTAAGTGTATGATTATTGATTTTAGAGTCAAATATATGCTGGTGCTGTACAAAAGTGATATCAGTGTAATGGGTGTAGTCTGTTGAACATCAGACAAACTTAAAATGTGTCATGAATTTTTTTTTTAATCACTAAATTTAACTATTGATTATATTGATAGATGAATAGCACGTTGTAGCCAAATTAATTTATTCCGCCTGAAATAATTATGTTAATTTTCAAGTTCAGAGAGCAATTTATAAAGACATGGTGCTACTGCTACAAACAGAAAGATATATGACTGACCGCGAGCTGAGGAGTAAGGTACACTTTAATTTTGTTCATTAGTTAAAAAATTAATTGACTTATAGTATTAATACTTTTTTAATTTAGAGTTCTATGGCAATAAGTCTAAAATTTTAACACTGTTTGTTGGGAATGGAGAGCAGTGGAATGAAAATAGTTAAAATATAAATATTGTCTTAATTTGAGGAGTAGATCTTATGTGTGATTTAGTGTACCCATTTAAATGATGGAGGAAAGCATAAATAGATGGTTCCCCCTTTAATGATTTCTTACTGAAGTCAAGAATTTCCAAGGATCACATTGGGAATCTTGTCAGAATTCAGACTTAGGAACGTCAGTCAGTAATTTTTTTATTATAATGAAAGAAACTCGATGTGACTCAAGTTAGTTCCGATTCCCAAATGTGGAGCCTAAGAGTCTGATGAAGTTTTTTGGGAACACACTCCTTAGCTCTGATTATAAAGGCAAAGATATTATAAATATATGGTTAATAGTGGTTGACGAAGGGATTTTATCCATCTAGTTTTGGACACCCAGTGCTGTGAAATATGACTTTAAAATGTAAAGCTTGTCATTAAAGAAGGTAGATTTGTACTCTTAGCCTATTGGTTGGTATCCATCAATGATCAATACCATTTCTTGGGAAGTACTATTCCTTTTCCATTAGGTGGGCAGAGCTTTTAATGAAAAGCATTGCTTAAGTTTCTGATGTTATTTTTTAAATGGTCTGAAGTAAGTTAAAACAAGCAGACAAAACACAGGGATTGAGCTCATGGTAAATAAATGAAAGGCTCTACACTAAAAATAATTTGCTTCCCAAAAGGTAGACCACATGTTTGTTGTTAGATTATTGAATTATCAACAAGCAGATCATTTTGTGTCTCTCAACAAAATACACTTTACAATATAATTTAAAATTCAATTATTGAAGTGGGTTTAAAATATTCCAATTCCTTTAGACATTTTGTTTCCATAACATAAAAAAATCGGTATCTGTTGTTTATTTTCTTTTCAACAAACGATCGAGCAACTGGGAAGTCTTGACTAATTAAAGTTAAATTTTGGTAGAAAATAAAATGCATCAAAGTGGAAGTTAAAATAGTGAATATTTTTTATTGTTTGATTATCTAGGGAGAAATTTCCACAAATGGTGATGAACTGGTTGAAGGTGGATGCAGAGGTGAAATGTCAAATGGTGTCAGCTATAGAGAGGTTCGTCAGTATAGAACAAATGCACATCTTGTACGCTTTTACTTTGTGACTCGCTGCTACAACAGCTACATTGAGAGTATTCTTAGTGATCTACAGAAAGAACCTTTCCCAGACCTGGTTATCATCAATTCCTGCCTATGGGATATAACCAGGTAATGTTTTTACATTATTATAGGTCAGATTTAAATAATTCAAAATGAAACACAATTGATGGAATGTCAGATTTTTGCCAGAAGGTTAAAAAAATAATCTAAAGAAGGGAAATAATTGACTGTGTTGTGATGCAAAAGTGTTCATTTACATTATTTACAAGCATTGACTTGGACTGAGTAATACTGTACAAAAATATAACCAAATTGGTAAAGGTAATCTTACCCCTTATCCCCTGTGGCACCATTCTCCATTGCAGTTGGAAAACACAGATTAACTTAAGTGATTTCAGAAGTGTACTGAAAAAGAAGATAACTCTTGCAGGGTAATACTTTTAACCTGGTTCTCTCTCTTTCATTAGGTATGGCAGAGATGCCATAGAGGATTACAAGGACAATTTAGTGAAGTTGTTTTCAAGGTTTTCTGAGACTCTTCGTCCTGAATGTCTTGTTATCTGGAATACAACACTGCCCATCTCCAGCAGTGCAAGGGGTGGTTTCCTGGTACCAGAAATTGAATTTATGACAACAACTTTGCGTCTTGACATCCTGGAGGCCAACTTTTATGCTCAAGGGGTAAGTTTTAAAGTGTGTTTTCGTTTCTAAATAGAGACCGCTCTCCACCCAAGGGAACATCATGTGAAAGATACAGCTTGGCACCAGTGGCCTCGCAGGAGTTGTGGGAATGTTTCATTGCACCGGGGTGCGGGTGATATCTTTGCTTGACTGGGCTTTGGCTGGAATTGAGATTTGCTCAATATAGACCACTCGGCCACCCAGCACGCATTGTATCGCGGATAAAGAAGTCTGACCACATCACCCCAGTTCTTAGAGATCTCCAATGGGTTCCATTGTGGATGGACACAAATTGAAGTCGTATAGTCATGAGGGAAATTGAAAATGATAAAAAATCATTTAAGAAAAATTTCAAGACTTCTTTTTAAAAATAGATTTTAGAACATCAGAGTGCTGTTAGCATGCTAAATAGCATGAATATAAGCGCTATATAAGTATTCAATCAATCAATCAAAAGTGAATTAAGCAAAACTATGTACTATGTACTAATATATATTAAGTGTGAAATAACACTAGATATAAATCAATGATAGAAAGGGAAATTTACACAATGTTTACCTTTAAATATATATTTAGTATGTACTGTACATGATTTACAACTGAAACAGAAAATAGAAATTTAAATACAAATATTTTTATTTTGAGAATTGCTGATGGAGATTAAAAAGCGCTGTTATTATGAAATGCTGTTATGCAATTAGCGGTTATTGTGAGGTGCTACTATATTAATAAATATGAACTCTCAATAATATTAATTTTAGAGTGATCCATTTTTTGCATTAAATAGTTACAGCTATAATAATACAAATAATGCTCTATTTTTAACTCACCCAGGTAGCAACGAAATATGGCTTTGATATCCTTGATCTTCATTTCTACCTGAGACACCAACTTCATCGACGAGTCAGGGATGGTATCCACTGGGACATGATAGCTCATCGACAGATCACCAACATCATCCTGACACATGTGTGCGAGTCCTGGAATATCCCTATCCCTAAAAGACCTGTCACCTTTGGGAGCTACGGTTCAAGTCATGCACGTAATGGACATTATCAGCGTATGGAGAAGCCGCAAGAACAGACAACCTGTGGCTTGTCTCAGTTCATGAATAATATCAATCAGAGAATGATGAATGCGATGGCTAATGCCAGTAATTTGTTTCAAGCATGCACTTCCTCACAAGATAGTTGCCAGGGATTCTCCAATGGTCTCAGTCAAAACTACAACTGGATGCCTTATCAAGAAAGTTCATACCATGGAGCTGCAGAAAGAGGGCGTTCACGCTTTAACCCATACAGACGTCAACGTTAATTTTCAGGAAACCAACTTACCATTATGTCAATGCAAATTAAAAAATTTTCGTTGGCCATTTTATAAATTTACTTTACACTTTAAAGAAGCACTTTGGATAATAAAAAAGATTTAACTTCCTAAAAAATGTGTTACCGGTATCAAAAGAATGTGAAGTAAATAAATATTTGTAAATTTACCACACAAAAAACACACCATTTAATGTATAATTCTAGTGTTTATGTTTTAAGACTTTTTAATTCTATGTGTGTTCAAAAAAAATAATGCAGTTAAAAACACTGAAAAGATGAGTATTTTATGCTAATTTTTTGTAAGTTTAAAGTGGGTTAGAATCTCAGGGTAATTTCCCATTATAGACGGCTGTTACATTTTGGTCCACTTTAGAACGATCGTGTTAACCCAGGCATGAGATGTTAAGTTTTTGCATTAACAACAGTATTAATCTGCAGATACTCCAATCTTAATAATTAAGCTGTAAGTTCTTTGTCATTGTGTACCATGTGATCATTGTGCCATTTTTACTGCTGGTATTCATGCACTGCAATACGGACTTGGTATCATTAAACTTTCTTGACTCTATTGTAACCTTTAAAAAACTAATTTATCATGGTTTTATTTCACTGAGACAGTGCTTTTTTTAAAAATATCAATTTACATGACCTATCTGTCCTATAATCTTCCATTTTATATTTTCTTTAAATTATTTTGATAGATAATTTTGAGGTTGAACATGTATGACATTTTTATTTTTAAATGTGAACCCAATCATATTTAAACTTTTATTTAGCCCTTTATCATATTTGCCAGCTTCTTCCAGATCGGATAGATGATGACAAAAATTCACCTTGACTTTTTATTTTAATGGGCAAATTTTGCATTAATTGTTACTTTTGTTCATCAGAATGATAACTTTTTGTGGTAACCCTGGTTTATTCTTTAGAGCAGTTTTAATTCTTCCAGTTAGTTTAATAACTAGCCTTTCTTGGAGCCAGAATGATCAATTCATTGATCGTGGGCCCTCAAAATAAAGAAGAAGAAGAAGAAGAAAGATCCCAGCTTTTTCATTTCAGCAATTGTTAGAAAATTATTAAAGTTGTAAATCCAGAAAATGGGCACACAAAGACATCAATGGTACATTAACAACACATTGTTATAATTCACATAAATCCAGATGATTTATTTTAAAAGGACGTGAGACATCTCTCCAAATATATGAACCCACCACTGAATGTGTAAAATGCACTTTATTAGACAATTGATTACTTATTACTTAATACAAACTCCTTTCCTTTGCGATTTGAGCAAATCTAATTTACCTTTGATTTGAAGACAGGTGCTCATTGATAAATTATTAATTACTAGTCATTATGTATATAGTAGTCTCCTTATTTATTTGCTGTCCTGTTCCATAACACTTACAGTTTGAAGTTTTTTCATTTTTTTAAATAAATTTTCATGATGGCAAAATTTTCAAAAAAGTTAAAAGTACATTCAATTTTTTTTAGAGATAAAAGAAATGTACTAACAATTTATTTCGTTGTAAAAAAATTATTAATCTTATTTATAAATGGTGATTTAAGAATTCAAAATATTTATCTGTTACCTAAACAAATAATAATATTCAACCTCTATCACATTTGTTGAAATACAATAATTGTGACTAACCAATTTCAGGAACCAATTCAGGTGGGTTTAAAAGTTATCATTCTCCTTGATGGAACCTTTATTTGTCTTTTTCTTTTATAAATAATATGAGTTGATATATTAAAATATTAATTTAGATGCATTTTATTGTGTTTTAGATTTTTTTGATACAAACAGGGCATTTGATGAGAAGCCTTTCAAGTATCATGAAGGGCCATCCATTTAGTATTTTTCGTGTTGATTCTGGAGATTGTGAGTATGCACATTTGTTAAAAATTTCTACCATCTAGTACATATCTCGAATGCTGTAAAAATATCATGCAATGTTTTGTAGGAATTATCTTTATGTTGTCATGTATTTTCACCAATTAACTCACTAGATATGCTCAGAAAGTACTCGGTAGTAGAGGTATTACAGTGATTCAGTAATATTTAGTGCACCTTATGTTCAACGTGAATGAGGGGTATGCCAGTGGTTCCTAAAATTTATAGATTCCCGGCACCTATGCCAAATGTAGGTTTTAAATTCTATCAAGTACACTTCAAAATACCGAAAACATTAACAAAATAAAGGTTTGGGTAAACATAAATATAACGAGTATGTAGGTTGCTAAGCACCATCTAGTAACTGCAAACAGTAGTTACTCAAGTGGGTTACCTTTGGCACCACGACAGCTAGATGTCACATTGTATTAAAAGTGGAAATAAAATTATGAAAATTGTGTTACATTTTGCAACACCCCTTTGTCTTTGTGAAGATATGGGATTTTAAACTTTAATTTTCTGTTAAGGTTCTATCTACAGACAATTTTGGCGCTTGTTGCTCTTCGCCCCATTCTCATGGCACCAAGGGTGATGCAGTTTATATTCTGGGAACCACTGGGCTTGCCAAACAGCCAGCAGTGAAAACCTGTGACACATTTTGCTGAAATAATTGTAAAAAGATTATTTGATTGGAGGGGGGGTGTGTTTTGAAAGCTAAATGTACATTAAATACACATAGGGAGGGGGGAAAAAAATGTTAAGTTTTTTTTTGCATGTGTACTATATGGATGGCCCCTACCTTATTATTCTTCATGTTTGGCCAAAACTATCTGCTAATTGGTACTTTTTAATTTTTTAAACCTTTTACAAATACTGTCCATATGTATATATAAGAAAAAATTAACTTTTTACAAACTTTTTAATCATAAAAGTAAAAGCTAAATTTAAAAGATGGCATTAATATATATATATATATATACAGGGTGGGCCAATATAAGTGAAAACACCTCGTAGCATATGAGTTATTTCAAAATATAATTTAATTATTTATAATTCTTCATGGGATTTTTTTTTGTGAAAAATATTTAGCTAATTAGAAATCAAGTTCAATGTGTCCTCCTTGGTTCTCAACGACTTTTTCCAAGCGCCGACGCCACTCGTTTATGCTTCTGTCCATGAAACGAGATGTTCTAAATATTCTTCTGGCATCCATCCGTCACAATGTGATTATGGTGCAGACCTCGCAGAAATAAATCAAAAGTTCTGGGATTTTTCTTTATACATATAATATATATATATATATAGATATATATATATATATATATATATATATATATATATATATATAATAACATAAAATAAAAAAAAATTTTTGTTATTTTTATATATATATATAATATATATATATATATATATATATATATATATATATATATATATATATATATATATATAATGCCATCTTTAAAATTTAGTTTTTATCATTAAAAAAAGATTGGGAGTTGTAAAAAGTAAATGATTTCTTATTTATAGGTTTAAAAAAAATTATCTTAAAAAATGGTGGTTTGGTATTACATTTTCTACCATGTTGTGAGTTTCAAATCAGTTGATACTTTTTATTATTTAAAAATGAGACAATAACACTAAATTTAAAGACAATGCTTCTATGTAGCTCTAGACATTAAATAATTTATGCCTGTTAGAATGGAGTTTATCTATTGTCTATTAAATGAAATTGTGATTGTGGCAAATAACTTAACAAATAGCTACAGTACTAACACAATTTAAGAAATAATGTAGTTTTATTACCATCACTAACAATTTCACAAGAGTGAGTAAAAATGTTTGTTAGTTAATATTAATAATAAATTAAAAAAAAAAAGTTTTTCACAATTTAATTTATTCTGATTTTATTTACAAGAACAAAATAAATCTAAATATTTTTAGGCCTTGTAATTACAACTATTACAAAGTTAGTATCATTTATTTTATTCTACATGAGTTATAAACATAGTTAAAGTGGCACAAATTCTTTTCTTTAGTGAGTGCATCTAACTTCTGTATGGTACGTAAATAATAATCATCTGAAAAAATCATTTATTGTAAATTTATAACATATTTAAATAATAAAAATGTTTAAGATAATACACAGATAAGGAAATATTGTATTACAGGGAATGCCTGGATCCTTAACAGCCAAAAAATACATAAAAACATATTATTGAAAAAATACGAAAATGACTAGGTTTTTAAAAAATAGCATACCGGTATAAATTAATAAACTTAAACTACAACTTATAAAATAAAAAGTAGTACCAGATATCCAAAGGGTTACAAGCAAAATAATTTGCAAACATTATTGAGTTTTAGTTTAATACTTTAATAAATACATAACAAGTCAATACAGGTGATGTACAAGTTTTGAAGTTGAAGGAACCGATTCTAAAATTTACATTTTTCAGGTCTTATAGAAATCATTTTGACACCAGCACCCGAGGACTTCATAAAAATAAATTTAACTCATAGCAGAGCATCCCAACCTGGGTTGCTTGAACCACAGGATGGGAGGTTGCATTTTAAGGGTTCCAAAGAAAGAGGCATAGCTAAGGGGGAAGGCAGATGTCCTAGGGCGCCGGACTAGTTAGGGGTGCCAAAATGGGCCTTGAAGGTATTTTAATTTGGAAAATAATGGGGTTAAGGGAAAAGGGGGGGGGGGGAGCATTAAAAGAAATCTTGTCCAGTGGCGCCAAACTTTCTAGTATTTCTAGCTATGCCTCTGGTGAAAGGAAAGAACTGAGGAGCACTTGTCATTGACTTATAAGATAAGATTCTTTATTGATCCAAAAAATGGAAATGATAACATTGTACATTTTCATTTCCATCACATAAATAAATACATATTTTAACCAAGACAACATTAAGTAGTGATCATAAGAATTAAGATCACTTAGATTTGGTAACCGCTGGGGGAGCAGGCTGGTAAATTCCCACAGAGGGAACAAAATAATTTTTATATCTTTCGCTCATAACTTTAACAGAGAATTGGCTCCGATCTTATGATATAAATGTTTATATATTTTGTAAAATTTTTCACATTTTACTTTTTAAGTCACATTTATACTTTCTATGTTCTACAGTTCTCATTGCTCTTAAATTGTACCCGGGTACTGTACATTAATATTTTAAAAAAAAATTAGAATTGATTCTCCCCCCCTCCCCCAAATTTTAAAATGTGACAGTTACATTTACATTGGCAGGGGGGTGGGAGAATTTATCAAACAATTTTCATGGGGTGGGAGACTAGTACAAAAGTTTTGTAAGGAGTGTACAAAAGTTTTGTAAGGAGTGCAGAACACATAAAAGGTTGAAACAATGAATTACGGGAATCGTTAAACTTGAGACTCTACACTCTATTCTAAATATGTAACAATTATTGGCTCTGTCTGATATCTAAACATGGGTCGTGAACCTTTCTTAAGATAGAGGGATGGACAAGGATATGCTACTTTAGTGCTCAGCCATTTTATACTGTCGCATCTTAGCTAGGCTACAGACTATACAATTTTATTTAAAATTATATTTTAACTGACTGAAAGCAATTATAGACTGAATAAAAGAAATTTGCAGACTGAAAGGTAGCTGCTCGCAAACACCAGAACAATTCTATACCGCATTAGTATTTTATATTTTTAATTATTATATTAGTATTTTATATTTTTAATTATTATATTAGTATTTTATATTTTTAATTACCGTATTAGTATTTTATATTTTTAATTACCGCATTAGTATTTTATATTTTTAATTACCATATTAGTATTTTATATTTTTAATTACCATATTAGTATTTTATATTTTTAATTACCGTATTAGTATTTTATATTTTTAATTACCGTATTAGTATTTTATAATTTTAATAACTACTTTTGAGGTTAAAATGGCAACCTTTTTTATATTTATTTGATTCAAATTGAAGCATAATAATGATTAAAAAGCAGTAACATTGAAAGAGAAAAAAATCTGGCCTCAAGACTTTGTACATTTAGTGGTCTGTGTCAGTATGCAGATACATAAATTATATACAGGTAAACAGACTGAAGATGATTCTTGTGACCACTATCAGTAGTATCAGTGACTTATGGAAGCAATTTGATCTTGCACTTCATCTAAGTAGCTTAAGCTATGAAAACAAAATGAAGTAGTAATAAGTTATATCATAACAATTATATTGATAAAAAAGTAAGATGGGACTGAGCAAGAACCGTTACGCAAAATTATTTTAAATTTATTAAATTGGAAAAAAAACAACCCCTAAACACAAAGTATTTGTATAAATCCTTTATATGCATTTTTGTTTGCATTCATGTAATTATTTTTATGCGATTTATCATTTATTAAGAAGCGGTTATGTAAATGGGTAAACTTCTGGCCAAAACACATTTCATATTGCCTTCATTTTTCCCTTCAAAATACATTTTATTTTTACTACAATGGCTTTTGTTGAAGGATTAAATCCTTAAAAAACTTTTAATAGGGGATAAACTGCATTACCTTTCTTGCATCTTCGGCACCAAGTATTTTGTAAAACAGGAAAAACTGATTGTTAAGGGTGGGGTATGGTGATGAAAATTTGATTAAATGTGTTGTCATCTGCAAGGAGTCTATGTGACAAGTTTCAGCCTTTCCAAAGATTTTGCCACACACAAACAAAAGTGAAGTTAATATAAAGGATTTTAAAATATACATTTTTGTCTTCCATTTGACTTAAGCTTACAAAATTAAAACAATTAAATTACCTTCGAGCTATGGCTGAGTGTCTGAAATCGAAATAATAATATAGAAATTGTAATTAAAATATTAGCAGAAATGCCAATTAATAAAATATAGATAGTCCCAAATTACAGCAGTAGAAAAGAAATTACAGCATACCTGTAATAAGAAAAATGCCTCAGGAAACTTTCTAGATAATTTTTTGATTTGCAGGTTTTTTAAAATTGTACAGTTATAAGTTTCTAAACAACAATATATAAGTATTAGGCTATCTAACTTGCATGGCATCTTTTCAATTTTTTTGTTGTAAACATTAAATCATTCAAACCCACTCACTGAAATTCAAGCTGGGAGCGAAGTAAATCCATTTTCCTCATTGTCTGAAACGCAAAAAGATAAATATAAACTATTTTTATTTCCAAATCTAACTTTTGCAAGTGATTTTTTTTTAATATACCGGTAGCAGAATTTTTGAGGAGCTAACTAAACAATTCTTAACATTAATAATTTTTCCTTTCCATTGATGTTTGAAGCATCAGTCCTCAAATTCACAGTTCACTGTCCCTCAGACATTGTTGGGAGTTAATTAATAAAAACCTATTATAATTTAATATAATTAATAAGGTGTGTGAAGGAGGGTTTGAATACCCCTTTTTAAAAAAACACATCATACATCATATCATCATTACACTTTCTATGAATTTGCAAGTGATTGCTGAAGCCTACTTAAAGTAATGCATAATTTGTAATAAATGGAAGAGATAGATAATAAAAATATGCAGTTATTTCATTGCCTGTTGCATTAGATTTCAAATAAATTATGTACTTTTTTTATGAACTTTTCCTATTTTCCCTTCAACACTTCAATTAAGTAAGTTATTAGCTAGACATTATCAGCTTTATTTATCAATATTTTGGGGGAAACACCAGTAATAACAATAACTCTTCTTTCAAGAGGTTGTCTTGGCAGACCTGTAGATAGGGCAATAGAAGCCCCTACTTCATAGTCAAGTATCTGTAGTATACATTTTCTCCCTTTGAACTAAGCTCACCAAGGAAACAGACTAAGCATTTTTCACAAGCTAATGTCAGTCATTATTTTTTTTAAACCTAATATCTCCCATAAATATTGTCAAAGATCTATTCATAATAATCAATTTTGCGTGCCATATTTTAATCATTCTGCAACCCCAACCAAAAACATTTCTTTTCAATGCAGATGAGCCAATAATACAGCCTAAAAATAATCCACCATTCCCATTATACATTACTGGCTTTTTACCTCAGTTGTATCCTGACAAAACTCTGTATGGTTAATGAAGCCGGAATAAGAATACTTTGTGACATTATTCTAGGGACTAACTTTTTTTACGTTTCATATTTAGAATTTTTAGTGATGAAATTTCAAAATATGTGAAATTCTAAGTAAAAACAGAGAATTAAGCATTATAAATACAACTACAAATTTTGACAATTTTACCTCATGTGAATTTTGAATGCAATTTTCTTGGGATGCAAAATTTTTTGCAGCCTGGGCCAGAAACTGAAACAAAAATCTTTTATTAAGAATTTATAGAAAGTATTTTATTCAGCAAATGCAATTGTGATGAGAGTTAGAGTATATTTTTGGTAATGATGGAAAGCACTTTATCAGCATCTTAGTAACTTTATATGAATCTGTAAAGGACAGCTATTATTTTAAAAGCTATTATTTACAACTTTTGATTAGCTAAAAAAATTCAAATACATTAGTGGGGGGGGGGGGGATGTATGCATTTCAAAATAAATTTAGAATAAAATCATATCCGTTATCATGTAGGATAAAGTTTGGTCAAATTACACTTTAGGCCTCACCCTGAGTTTTTGTGTATGAGTTAACTCCCGTTTGTTTAGTATCAGATTGTAACTAGAGGTAACTATTCATTTTTTATGATACCGATGGAACCTAAAGCTTAAAGAAGGCTAGGATGATTTATAAGTTTGCTTGACCCTATAACCGTCAAGAAAATTTTTCGGTAGCCTCGTTGTATATATAGTAGCTTCTGCCTGCATATCACTTTTGCTCCTCTACAATCCGGCATCCTTTCAATATGTCCTGCCCAGCACAGTCTGCCTTTTTTTTTTATTGTTGCAACTATGGGTGGGTCTTTGTAGATGTGGTTGTTTATATTGATGTTGTCATCAGCGTGGGTGTTTCGTGACATGTCAAGAAACAACCTTCCAACACTGTGTTTAACAAATCATTTGATTGACTTACATATCAATGAAGTCAAGATATTAATTTGTTTTGTTAACAGTCTTCAAATTGGTTCTCCAGATATTACTATTTTTCAAGGCCTACACTTTATTATTATTTATAATATTATAATTAATAATGGTAATGCACAAACTTAAACAGCATATAGCCATATCCATATCAGTATAGTGGGCTGGGGGTCATACAGTAATAGTATACAAATATAGTGATACTTTCTAATACTGATACAGTCATTATACTAGTTTAAATCATTATAGTGTTTAAAAATAGTCATATATAGTATAGGATAGGCCTAGTGAATAGAATGGTGTATTAACTGTATTAGTATTAGCTACAATTGACCATTATAGTGATTCATAACTTAGGTCAAATCTTCTTCTTCTTTTATATATTAAGGGCCCAAGATCAGTTTAGATCAATTTATTGATTAGCCTGGCTCCTTTGCATGTAGATGGGATTTGCAATTTTTCTGTGCCTGGTGTTGAACAGGATATTTCACTGGTTGCAAGGGCTACTCAGCGAGGGTATCATTAACTGGGAATTGGAAGGCCTGAGGCAATAGATGCAAATGTGTCAAGTGTCACCTCAACTGTTCCTTTCACTTTTGGAAGCTTGTCCCAGTCCCTGATTATCTTTGGCAGGAATGAGCAGTTCCTATACAGCCTTCTTGCTGGTGTGAACCGGAACTTCCTGTCATGGCCTCATCACTATCTATGGGGGAGAGGGACAAGTTTCTTTTTAATGCTAGAGCAGTGAATAAGCCCATTATCTATGGACATTATTATTATCCTGTCCATTCATGGAGAGCCTGTATAGGCATCATCGTTCCTCCCATGGTGACCAGCTTAATTTAACTTAATCTAAAAGGGAGTTAATTAATGTATAGTCTTAGGTTAACTTTACAATTCTGAGATGAGTCTGACTACCGGTAATGTGAGTTTGTGTGCCTGTGGGTGGAGACAGGAGAGTGGTGGGTCCGGTGGTACTTGGGCGTGGGTGATGAAAGATACTTTCTGTTAAGTATAATCATAACGTATTCATACTTACTTCATTAGATTTTGATCCCCTTATAACTTGACGAGAAAGAGACCCAATGTCATTTATATTTGAAGTTATCTTTTCATTAAGTCGTATTTTTGTTTCTTGATTCCAATTATTGGAGGAGCGATTGGACGCCATATTGTAAACAAATAGAAACGATAGGTAGCAGAACCTGTATTTTAACACACAAGAGCTCAGCAGAAGGGAAACCAATCCATAAGGGGAAAAACGTAAACAATCCACCAGTTCTACCGTTCTACCAACTCCCATCACTGCTCATCTTGATTAATTAAATTATTTTGACACATTTCGGCTTACTTATTGGAGGATTTTTCATGTATATGCGTCTGTCTGTATGACTCATACGGTACTTATAGCAATGAACCATTTCCTGAACAAATAAATAATGACGATGAAGCAATGATTGGTTCTGTCAATTATTGAAATGAAGTTTAGTTAGTTATAGTTATAATTATACTAAATACTATAGTTATAGCCTTAACTGCCCTTAACTAACTACACAAACCACACAGCAAGAAGATAAAATTCAGAATGTTAATTGTTAACGATTATTTTTAATTTAATTATACATAGGATGGAGAAAGCTCTAACTTTGGTATATATAATACCACAGAAGTTTCAAAAGAAGAGATTGAATGATATAAAACTATCAATGGTGAAGAAAAAAATTCCAAATGCCAGCATCCTTGGGTAATAAATATGAATTGAGTTAGCTTCATAGTCATAGTATAATTATAATATTTCTAATTCTGTTTGTTGATTTTGATTATAATTAGGTTAATGACTATATAAAATGTTTGCACACTGATTCAAATTCAAACATAAACAGGACACAACTAGTTGAGCCCCACACAGTTTCAGACTTGAAGAAGACACAAATGCAATTAAATTATATTTTATACTTACAAGTCCACAGTTAGAGCAGTACACTTAACCCCTAACACCACATTCACTTTCACGATTAAAGATGTAAATAGTTGATGATAAAATTAATCCATACTATTACTATATAAAAAAAAAATCATCCTCTAAACATAAAAAAAACCCCACGCTGTTCAGCATCAATTAAAAACAAAAAACATTAGGTCCTTTAACAAGAGTCTAGAAAGACATAAAATATCCAAGATGTCATATGATACTCAATGGTTAAACCTTGCAGACAAACTGGGTTTAATATTAATTTGCTAAGAATTATTAACCTCATTCATTTGGAAAAACGCTTTGTAACTTGACCTTGTAATTTAAACTATTTTTGCAATTCTGATTAAAAGCGACATGTTCCATTATAATCGTTAAACCTCATTCCTTTTAAATAACTTTTAAAATGATGTTTCTTTATTCCAGGCCAGATGTCACTCACATTGTATCAGAATCAGATAGCTATGAACAAGTTCTACGATTTGTAGAAGAAGCAGATATTCCAGAGGAAGCAGAAATTGTTTCTACAAGGTGGCTTGTAGAATGTTTACAACAATCTAAGATTGTTCTAGTTCTTGAAGTTCATCGACTTAAAAAGGTAGTGTTAACATTTTACACTAAGCAGGCCATAAATCCATTAAAAAATTGTGTGAGCAAAGAAATTATTAGTGCAAATTGTAAATATTTATGCAAATTTCATTTTTTTTCCCTCAAGAGGATATTCATTTTCTACTTTGTGAATAAGACATGTAGAATTTGAACCTTAGAAAAAAAAATATTTAAAAGTTTGTTTAAAGACTTGGTTCACTCTTGCATTAAGTTCATTAAGATAAAGTCTTATAGATTTTGCTTTTTCTTGGCAATGTGTGGGAGATATCTACAAACTATTCAGTAAATTCCTGAGTTATAAGATCACACTCAACGTGCACCTATTTAAAATTAAATGTTTGTTCTTAGTATTTAATACATTTTAGTGAGAAGTTATGATAATTAAACAAGTTTAGTGTTTTTTTCTACTCCCCTTTATCATTCTGTTTTTACTTTTTGTCTTATTGTATTTATTATCAGATCAAAGCAGACAATGTAATCTCCCCAAAAACAACTACTGACCAGAATTATGAATGGGCTTGCCAAAGAGGAGCAAGACTTGAACATTTTAACAAAAAATTTACGGTAGGGATAAAAGTGATATTAAAAATATTTTGCTCATAAGCTTTATTAAGAGTGTAAACTTTTTAAAATATATCTTTTACGTTAATTAATAATTGTATTTATTTCATTAAATAAAAAATAGTGGTTACTTTGTACAAATCACATCAAAATTAAAATCATCTTAATCAAGCATGCATTCACATCACCCCTTATTACATTCAACTTTTATTTTATTCACCTTAATTTGAAAAACGTTATTTCAGGTTTGGTAAAATTTAGAAAACCATGTTGGTAACAGAAATGATTTGCAAATTTATAATTTATTAGTTAACTGTACAATTTTTAATAAGTATTTTTGATTATTTATCTGAATTATTTGAAGCCTATTTGGATGTAGTAAAGGTGAAATCTATGCTATAAATTTAACATGTTGCTATAATCATTTGCCCAGCAAATAAATGAAGTTTGTCAGAACATGTTGTACAACTATTTCATTTTAATTTTAGACCATTTTTTCTTCCTCAAGGTTGACCTTGAGCTCCTACAAACCCATGCAGAATTTTGTAATGAGATGCACAGCCAATCTCGTGCTCTTGCCTTTCGTAGGGCATCATGCGTGTTAAAAACTCTTTTGTTTCCTTTAACACACATAAAACAACTTGACGGTGTGAAGTATATTGGTGGACACGTCCGGAAAGTAATTTCCGTAGGTTTTGTAGAAGTAATTTAGTTTCTATGCTTGCTAAAATTTTCAATAAAGAGATATAAGATTCTTATTAAATTAAATATGTTTAAAATAGATTTCTAATAATTTATTTATTACTAAGTAATTAATGGCGTATGTCTCTTGTATGTTTAAAAAATTCCTCAACAGGACTTACTTGATCTTGGCTCAAGCCCAGAAGTTGAAGAAATCAAATTTTCTGATTGGTTTAGGAAAATGAAGGTACTTTTAATTCTTTTATTCTATGCTTATAATATGAATTAAATTTATTCTCCCTCCCTCCCCCCAATTATTTACCTTAAACCTTTAGTAATACAGTGATTGAAGTAAATCGACAAATATAGACAGATCAATATATTATTTTATTTATGGAAATAGAATGAGAAATTTTCGGTACTGACGCTTATGGCATGGGGTTAAACTGGTTTCAATTAAAAATAAAATATCTAGTAGAGAAAAATTGTGTAAGTGTAAGTAGTACAGCATTTAGTTTCTGTATATAATTATTCAAAATACATGGAAAATGTAATTATTAAATTATGGAATTTACAAACAAAAAGCATTCAATGCAATTATCTTTTAAATATGTAAATATGTGTTTTTTTTTAAACACAGCTTTTAGCATTCAACATTCAGTGCATGTCTAACTTAGGCACAAGAGGCAAAAAGTCCTCTTTATTTTCTATGGTAATTTATGCAATATCACAGATAAACCATGAGAGAAACTGTCTTGATTTTTCTCAAAACTTAAACTTGTTACTTAGTCCCTTGTGAAAAAATCACTTTTCAATTGTAAGCAACATATTTACACATAAGTCATTATATTATCCAAATTACATCCACTTAGTACATAATTAATTTTATTTTCAAGAAAATATTAAATGAGATATCTGTAAATGCCAGCTGTTTACAAGTATTTTTGGAGTTGGTCCAGCCACTGCCAAAAGCTGGATAGAGAAAGGTTGGAAGTCCATTGAAGATGTGAGAAATGCTGGCCATCCCAGCAAAGACTGGAGGATTGTGTGGGGTAAATTACTGTTTTTTAGATTAACATTCTGGAAAAATTCAAGAGATACATTTTGTATTTAGCTAATTCTAGATTTTCTTAGTCTTGGATAGCTGCTTTGAAAATCAGATGTATTAAATTGATCTGGCTTTCAAATATGTGTTCAAAAATTTTATAAAAGAGGGGTATCTTGGAAGGTTCTGCAAAGGTTTAAAAGTTAATGCTATGAAATCAGTGTAAAAATTGTCTATAATTTCGCATTTGCTAGTCCAACAATTTGGAACGCCCTTCCGGTCGATCTCAGAAACAATCAGACACTGGAGTCCTTTAAAACCGATTTAAAGACACATTTATTTCGCAAACACCTTCTGGGATGATTGTCTACCATATTTTCCATTTAATGCATATTAGCTGTGTTGCTCAGGGTTGAAATGGGTAGAAAGACTTTGACATTGTATGATTGTAATTAGTTTTTGTAGTGTTGCGTTTTTTTTAAATGTGGTAAATTATAGATTTTTTTTTTTTACTCTTGTGCAGCGCTTTGAGCCTTTGGGGATGAAGCGTGTTTTTGAAATACACTTTATTATTATTATTATTATTAATTCATCCTTTTTTCAATTAATTAATTATTTGTTACATTATTACTAATAATATTAGTATAAATTTTGAAAATACTAAAGAAAAAATAACATTTTTACATTAAAATTATGTGCAATTGCCTCCATTGTAAATTTGCCTTAGAGGAGGCAAATACCAGAAAATGGAAAGCTTTGGAGAAATAGACTCACCATTAAAAAAAACACCTCTTGTTTTATGGCAATGATGTTAGTTCCTTGTTACGTACCGCTATAATGTGTAGAGATTTTATTCTCTAATTTGACGATAAGGCTCGTGACAAACAGTACATAGCAAAGGACAATAACATTAATTAAATACAGTAATAAAGAACAATACCAAAACTAGTGCTAATTAGAAATAATATTTTATTAAGGTAACTTTACAATAGAACATCAAATAGAATAAAACTAAGGCTATTCACTTACAGTACAGCAATGAACTGGTTCTGGTACAATGTTGGAAGGTGCATAAAGATACACAGTAAATATAATGTACAATTATGTCAGTCTATTAGGGTCTCTTTCGACTTGTATATTAATAGCAATCTCTGTCTCTCTATTTGTCTTGCAGTCTCCATCTCTCTCTCTCGATCAGCTTATTTATAGTCTTTCATAGAGACTCTTTCAGGAAGAGGTAGCGCATTGTATTTGTATCTCGACCTGTCTTGTAGGTTCTAAAGAATTCAACTATAGACTATGTTTACATGAAG